TCGCTAGGTAGAGATCCGTTGCGTGATCCTTATTGCTGTTTGCTCACTTAGCACACACATCATTCGTAAATATAAACAAACAAGAATTATTCACTATAAACAACATTTATTTTAAGCGTCAAGCATACAGGACTTTATATAAAGCGAAAGTGAAACTAGCAGCCTGTGTGAAATGCGCTATGGGCTATACGCATCTCATTCTTCACCAATACAAATGTGTGCGCGCACGATGCACGTTTTGTTTGTTGACATTAATTGCATTTTATGAGTCACTTTGAAATATGTCGCAGCACTTTTCAGATGATACAAAAATGTGACTTGTGTTTTAGAAAATATGTTCATCGCTGTTACAAAATGTATGTATAGGCTAACGAGTGATTCCTTTCATTTAGACCCTTTCACACATAAGTCGTGGCCTAATGGTTAGAGAGTCGGAAAGCGATGCTTCTCTGCCGCTCACTGCACAGAACAGACGCTGAGAGAGGCGACACTGAGCCGGGAGTGTCAGACCTCGCGCTCGCTGGACAGCACTGGCGACATCTTCCAACTGAATCATAGCTAAGGTTTATCCAAAAAAATTCGCTAGGTTTGTCAGTATATATTCTATGAGAAAAAGCCGCTAAAAGCGTCTGAAAGTTGCTAAATCTAGCGCTGAAGTCGTGCTTGTGTGTGTGAGACGCGGGAGCTGATGGCTGGGGGCGGTGGATATGTGTGGCGGTCAGTGGATATTGTGGATGAGTTCTTCTGTGTCATCACGTTCTATTAGTTATACAGCTTCAGTTTCGGATCTTTCACGCTTAGTAACACATACAGCTGTTCCCTCACCACAGTGCAACAGTGAAAAGATACCTCAATCGCGATGCGAACATTATTTAAATGACACCGGTATTGCGGTTAGACCCTTTCACACATAAGTCGTGGCCTAATGGTTAGAGAGTCGGACTCCAAAGGTTGCAGGTTCGAGTCTCGTACCGACAGGGCTTGTAGGTGGGGGGAGTGAATGTACAGTGCTCTCTTCCACCTTCAATACCACGACTGAGGTGCCCTTGAGCAAGGCACCGAACCCCCAACTGCTCCCCGGGCGCCGCAGCATAAATGGCTGCCCACTGCTCCGGGTGTGTGTTCACTGCTGTGTGTGTGCACTTTGGATGGGTTAAACGCAGAGCACTAATTCCTAATATGGGTAACCATACTTGGCCACATGTCACGTCCAACTGAATCATAGCTAAGGTTTATCCAAAAAAATTCGCTAGGTTTGTCAGTATATATTCTATGAGAAAAAGCCGCTAAAAGCGTCTGAAAGTTGCTAAATCTAGCGCTGAAGTCGTGCTTGTGTGTGTGAGACGCGGGAGCTGATGGCTGGGGGCGGTGGATATGTGTGGCGGTCAGTGGATATTGTGGATGAGTTCTTCTGTGTCATCACGTTCTATTAGTTATACAGCTTCAGTTTCGGATCTTTCACGCTTAGTAACACATACAGCTGTTCCCTCACCACAGTGCAACAGTGAAAAGATACCTCAATCGCGATGCGAACATTATTTAAATGACACCGGTATTGCGGTATTTTAAAAATTCATATCATAAGAAAAATAAACACCGGTATTCGGTACGAACCGGTATACCGCCCAGCACTATCATGTTCTTATGCATGATCTCCATCACGGAGCAAAGAAGACACTGACAACACGCCGACATACAAGACAGAGCAGGTTACTTTCAATATTAAACAGAAGTTCAAATGTAAGAAATTCAAACAACAAATACTGTGTTGTGGCTCTTTAATCTGTTGTGACAGATCGCTGTAGCACCTCAGTTCAAGCGGCATGTGAATCAATCATCTCTTACTGGTTATAGCACAAAATAAACATGAATGAATCAGAAGGGTATCTTGTTTCAAATGTGAAAAGATGTCAATACACACTATTTTTCAAGTTCAAGTCCACCGACGCTAATCTACTCTCCTATCTGGTTTGTTTGTTGGACAAAAATGGCAATATGATTGCTCAGACTGCCTGATAATCTAGCTCCCGGCGAAGGGTCAATTGAGCAGCCAAGGTTGGGCCAAGTTTAGAAATAACTGGGTCTAAAAAAATGACTGCAGTTAATGCTGAACCTTTCACACGTTTCTTTAAATAGATTTTTAAAGATGTAAGGTCTTTGTGTCACTTGGAGCGACCACTCATCATGTGGTGTGACCAATATTAGCAATAACTGTATTAAATTAAAAATAAATGATCTAATTTCTGTGGCTGAAATATGAATCACTGCTATAGTATGCTTAAGTGAATGGTATTTTTTAAATATTTTTTATCAGTTTTATGCAATTTACAGAAAAAAAGTAAGTCTGCTAACTACAATTAAGAAGGCAACTCTGAAATTATAGAACAAAAATATGAGATCATTATTTACAAAAACTCAAAAGAAATGCAAATACTTTGCGTCTAAACACTTTAATTACTGAGAAGATCTAAAAAAAATGTTAAGCATGTTAAGGAAATGAATTAATTTTAATATAAATCATGATCGCACCACATGACATTTTTAAGGCTACGGCCGATTCATCTAGAAAGAAAAATCACTTAATTTAACATTTTAATATGAATGTACACAACCTTCTTAATGTTTGAACAACTACAAAAGATATTATTATTTTTTGTATTTTAAAATTGTCGAAAATCCTTATACGTCAATGATCCATATATAGAGTGAAAGAAACAAAAGCTTGTAGAATACATTTTAATGGGCATAATTAAGTGCGAAAATGAATTTGAAGGAAATATCTATTTGCTAAATAAACTAAGCCAACTAACACTATACATATTCTTTTGGTTTCTATACCCAGTATTTCTAAAAAAATTATAAATGCAATGAAAATACAGGTATCTCAGAGTATAGACTATAGGTATACTCTGTATCGGCAAGTACCAAAAATAAAAGTATCGATATCAACCTGTTCTGAAACAACAGATAATTAAATGTTTTTTTCCCCCAAGAAAAAACAGCAGATAAAATACTTCAGCATCTTAGTTCCTTCCAGCACACGTAACAATAATATTCATTTTATTTCTGGAAATCTCCAGATCACCCGGTGAAACCTTCTGCAACACTTATCAAAAAGGAACAAGAGTAGCCAAGGGGTGGGCCCTGGCAAAGAGTAAATAAACCTGTACCAAGTACAAAACCTCTTCAGCTGCAGAGTGGGGAGTGAAAATGTATGGAAATTACCAACAAACACACTATGTCATGTCTAAAGCAATATAACTTATCTTTGGACAAGTCAGGGGTGTCCAATCCTGCTCCCGGAGGGTCATTGTTCTGCAGTGTTTAGCTCTAGTCTCCACTTAAAGGGATAGTTCACCCAAAAATTTAAATTACCCCATGATCAAGCCATCCTAGGTGTATATGACTTTCTTCTTTCAGACGAAAACAATCAAGAGTTATATTAAAAATGGCTCTGGCTCTACCAAGATTTATAAATGGCAGTGAATGGGGATTGAGATTTTGAAGCCCAAAAAGTGCATCCATCCATCATAAAAAATGCTCCACACAGCTCCAGGGGGTTAATAAAGGCCTTCTGAAGCGAAGTGTTTGTGTAAGAAAAATATCCATATTTAAAACTTTATAAATCGTAATCTCCAGCTTCTGCTAACTGTCGTACGCGCGTGTTAACAAGAGAGTGGCTGTCAGGGTTTTGCCCTGACACTCTGGTTGTCTTGTGTTTTGTTTCTTGTGTCTATGTTGTCTTGTCAGCACATGGCCTAGTTGATTGTTTTTCTCAGCCATGTGCTTCTTTAGCCCCTCCTCCTGGTTTCCTCATTACCACACCCTCTTGTTAGCCCTCATTGAGTCCTTGTTAGTGTAATTGCTCTCACCTGTTCCCTGAGTGTTTTCCTCCCTATTTATAGTGCCCCTTGCCCTATTGTCTTTGCTGGTTCATGGTCATTGTTTCCCTCACTGTGTTTGTCTGTCTGTGGATGTGGCTGATTATGTGTTCCTGTCTCCCGGTCTGTTTGATCTTGTGCTCCAGTCTTTCCCTAGTCTTGTCTCTTGTAATTCTATGTTCTTGTCTTGCTCCTTGTCTTTTTGCTTTTAATTTAGTATTCATTTAGTTCTCTTAATCCTGATCTTTTTGTTGAAATTTTTTTGGTTGATATTTTAGTTATTTGTGTTGGTTAATTTTTACCTTTTTTTTTTTTATTAGTCCTTTATTCATTCTCTTGCCTGTCTTGGAGTAATTTGTGTTCCTGTGGAGCTATGTTTTGTCTTGTTGTGGTGTTAGAGTTCCTGTTCCTGTCCACTGGTTCCCTTGCCTGATGTCTGGGTTGCTTGAGAGTTTATGGTCCATAAGTATCTGAGCTCTGCTCTCTGGTGCCTTGCTCTGGTCTCTCCACCGGCCTGGTCTTGCTGCCTCCTCTGCTGCTGTAGTATTCTGCCAGTTGATGTCGGAGGCTGTTCCAGTGGCGTTCCCTAGCTATCTCTGTTTATTGTGTTCCTGTAGTGGTATCACCTGTGCACCTCACTACCCTTTTATATTGATCCGTTTAGTCAATAAACCCTTGTTACTCACACTGCAATTGGGTCCTCCTTCCAAATCCTTGACAAGTGGCATTCCAGCAGATGATGTAGTGTAAACTCCAGTGAGAATATGCTAGTCTCGCGAGAACCAAGTTTTGTTTACAGCATAGGAAAACCAGTCTCATCTTGGCTTATATCGAAATTCTCCTGGCATTTTCCCTTTCAAATCCTAGTTTTTTTTTTACTTCTAATTCGTGAACTGAGTTGTTTTGCTCTCTTCTGTGCGCTTCCGCGTAGCTACACTCACGTCATCTGCTGGAACGCCCCTCTCTAGTGAACGCGCTTACAACAGTTAGCGGAAACTACAGATTATGGTTTATAAAGTCCTAAATATGGATATTTTTCTTACACAAACACATCGCTTCACTTCAGGATTGGACACCCCTATGATAAGTGCATATATGCATTTACATGTGCAAGTATACCTGTGCCGTTAGTTTGTTTAACTGAGCCACTCCAGGGGTCAGAGGTCAGACCGTCAGTGGCTGCTCCTTCCACTGCCCAGGGATCGGTTGACCCTGAGAGCGGGGTAGGGGCCGGAGCCACTGAGGCAGCCCAAGGGTCGGCACTTGGAGGGGTCACAGCTGGAGGGGATACAAGGAGAGGTCAAGGATCAGAGGACACCATGAATAAAGAGGAAAAGCCAGGGTAAAGACACAGGGAGGACACATCCTCGCAACTCTTACCTGTGGACGCCCAGAGGTCAGAGTTCACTCTAGAGGACGAGTCACCCCATGGATCCGGGGCTACTGTTGCTCCTCCCCAGGGGTCGGCACTCGGGGGAGAGGCGGGGGAAGCGGCTCCCCACGGGTCGGCAGGGCCCCATGGCCCAGCGGTAGACTCCAGAGCCAAAGCGGGAGGCGGAGAGGGTCCGGCGGAGCCCGTTGCAGGGGCCCCCCATGGATCTACGGCACTCAACTCCATCAAAGACGACTGAGAGAGAGATATGTCAGTAAGAACGTCCTCATTTCGAAAGGAGTGCGCGAGAAAGCAAAAGAGTGAGAGGGAAGTTTGTTTGTACAGAGAGGACAGACTTACACTTGCAAGTGGTTCAATAATAGCTAGTGTGGCAAGAAGGAAGAAACTCTAGAGGAAGTGAAACAAGCTCACACATCGCTGTGCTAAAGCGCGTACGCAGGGTGAGAGACACAGACAGAGCAGGTAACTCTTGGAGAGTGAGAGGCAGGTACACAAACACACAACCCTCGGTAACACAACACACTACCATGTGTACACCTCACGCTCTCATCCTAGAACAACAACTCGTCAAGCATGAACTCTTGCTAACACAGTCGTACACAATCACACACCTCCTCGGGCTTGGCTTTCTCCCTCTTACTCTCCTCGATGGCCATCTGCAGCCTCAGGTCGTCTCCCCTGCGCAGACGCTCCTCCTGCCAATCACACACCACCGTCACATCATCACAGTGAACCAAGTTCTGTGGGCTGATGGGAAATGGAGTCTACTGAACTGTGGCAACCTGACTCCCATGTCTCACCAGCTTCAGAGTTGTGCTTCATGGCTTCAGTTCAGGCACAAATCAACAACATTTGAAAGCAGTGGGCGGTTCATCTACTCTGACATTTCATTGATAAGCTCTGATGGAATTACAAAGAATTAACAATTACAGGTACTTTTGGAATTACTCATTGATTTCATCATGCAAAAGTGAAAATTTAGTTCAGAAGACTTCAAACAACAGAAATTATGAAAAAGAGGTAAGCTCAACACACACAATAGAACAACGGAAATGTTTTAACCTTTTTAAAAGCACTTACTAGGTATTTCTTAGACATTTAAATTGTTACATAATCATTCTGAAGTATATTATTTTCAGGCTGATCTGTGATTTGCAAGGGAAGAGGATAGCAAAGGAAGAGTTCATCCACTGTAACCTGGATGAATTTTTGCTCCCTGACCTTTTGGTGAGTCTCCTGGCTGACTGTGAGTACGTAGTGGAGCTCTGCATCTTCCAGAGGGTCTTTGCTAGTCTGAAGGAGGGGGGCAGGGTGAGGACAGATGTGAGTGAAGGAGTGAGGGGGGAAATGTACAAAAACTGTGCAGAGGATGGGCCAAATGTTTAATGCGTGTTATTCTACTTTATTAGAGAAACAAACCATACTTCTATTCTATGATGGCAGTTAGGGAAGAAGGCAGATTTAGGGAGCTTTAAAGATTGATATTATTTGCAGAGCTCAACAGTAAGAATGGCCTGGGGCCAGTGTGAGAGAGTTGAGCCAGTTGGCAGAACTGTCACTTGGCCTATTGGGGCACATCTCTTACATTTTTGTACATACCTTTTTATACTATGCTAACTTAAACATTTTTACTCTGAATACTTTTTGTATTATTATTATAGAATTATAACTACTATCATTTATTGTAAAAAAAAAAAAATAATAAAAAAATAAGTATTGCGATTATGTAAAAATAAAAAATCTATAATTGTGATGTGTGCCAGTTAAATATTGCCAGGGCAGTCTGAACTACTGGTCAGACTCAGCTAGCAGGGGAAAAAACTTTACTGTTGAGCTCTGATTGGAATGCCACAGTTAAAGTACAACTTGTAATTCACTGGCATGTTCTAAAATCTGTAAATATATTGCACAAGTCACAGTCCATTAGAGCAATTTATTACAGGACTATCTGGAATACTTGATTGGAACAGATTACATTTTGCTGTCAAATATGTTTATTTAATTGGCCACAAAAGTATATAATTGAACACTGTCTCAGGCAAACAATTTCCTGTGCTACCTTGCAGCATGGTCTCATCTTTCTTTACATAAAAAAAAAATTCAATTTAATGTCAATTTGTTTATTTCCATGTAATAAGCAGGATAATGTACAGTTAGTATTTAATATTTACCAAATTAAGATCTGATCACCATCTCAGGATTTATTCTGCATATGACCAGCTGACTCCACATTATGCCTTACGAATAGTTCTGCTAAAATCCAATTTCACATTAAGTATGCCAACAAAGCTCTTTCCATTTCTGGTAGAAAAACTATTCATCTTCCTCTGTCTCTCAACCATCTCAGTAGTACATTTTACCTGCAGCCTGAAAACCTGATCGCTGAGAGACTTTACCTGATCCGCCTCTTCCTTGCTCATGGCCAGTGCCAGCTGGAGCTGCAGGTCCTCCTCTCCAGTGCTCTGGGGCCACGCCTGCTCAGCGTCTGCTCCCGAGTGCAGTCCTCCCCCTAAAGCAGGAGCAGAAGGGGCCGAAGATGCTAAGGGAGGAGTCAAATGACAGCCATTATGATGCATCAATAGATGGCGGAGTATCGGTCCCTAAAATTGCTTCCAGGGCAAGATGCTTGCCAACCTCCATACTTGGCCAAAGCTGTGAAGTGCACTCAGAGTGTTTTTATAAGGGTGCTGACATTCATTTGAGTGTCCGCCCTGACCCCTTCATAAGCCCCTCCTACTGCAAAGCACTTCTAGTTCTTACCACTGCTAGTCTGTGCCATCTTCTCTTTGGTCTTGAGTGCATGGACCCTCTCCTCTCGTAGCCTCTCCTCGTCTTTTAGCAAAGTCACCAGCTGCTTGGCCTTTTCCCGTACATTCACACCCTGAAACATGCACACAATATGTAATGTTACATATGAACTTATTGGGCCTCATTTATGAAACGAACGTACGACAGAAAATTGAGCGTACGGTCGTTTTAACGCAAAATTTGGAATTTATCAATATGGACGTGAGCGGTGGCTACGATCAAATCTCACGTCTGGTCTCAGCTCGTGTACGCAAGTTTTTGAGTTAGCTGAAGTTGCGCACAGCATCGTAAATACGGTGGAGAATTGTAGATTGATAGCATTTTGTTCATTTTTATATTCTTGACCGTCAAATGAAGCTCATTAATCGATCGTTAATCAGTAAAATTAGAATGTCTTTTTCACAAAGCATGTGTGCAATTCTAGTATGTTTAATTGTCCAGCATTGGAATTAATAATTTAACAACCTAAACTACATCTTGTTGAGTTTGAGGTAGTGCATGTGACAAACTTGTTATTAGGGTGACTAAAATAAAATAAAACCTATTGGACTGAAGTTTTTGTGGTTTAAATGTGAGTGGGAGAAAGTCCTTGGTTAAAAGTCATGGCGTTTGAATTGACTGCACAGAGACCTTGAGCGAGAGATTGCTGTAGTGTGTGAATCACATTTGAGAACCATTACTAACATGATTAAGGACACTTCAAAACTAACACTGAGAGCTCTCCTTTTATTTCCTTATTGAAAGAGAGATAACAAGTTTCATTTGCACGTGTGTATAAATATAACTTCTTGTTTGTGAATACCTGATCCTTGCCATCTCTGTCAATGTACTGGAAATCTTTGAGAGTCTGAACGGCGTAGATGTTTTCCCTGCATTGCTGTGCCACTCTCTCTGAACCCGTCTTTATCAGATACTCCATCAGAGTCATAGCCTGAGAAAGGGCGAAAAATACAATCAGATTGTATTCATAGCCTCATATACCACATCTGCCACTAGTGAGGGTAAAACTGTCAAACTTACTTTATATACATGTCTCCAGTTCTTCCCATGGTCATTGAGTCTCTTCCAGACCATGCTCATAATCTCTGAGAAGGCCACTACATTGTATGTCAGATCAGCAATCTCTGACATCAGAGAGCTAGAGGGACCCCATGGGTCATTAGAGGTTGCTTCCCTAACCTTGAGAAAAAAAAAAATCAATAAACTTCACTTAAAGTGTCTCTTCATGCTCACCGAATACTGTATGTGAAAGTGTGTGAAACTATACTCTATGCAACTTTAAACATTTTAAACAGAAGTATGCTACATAACCGCATAACACTGCATGTTTATTCAGCTAGTGTCGTCAAGTAAAAAAAATTAAAATAAATTAAAAATAATAATAGAAATTTTTTTTTAAAATAAACAACAGGTTAAGACCTGCCACTGTACCATATATACCACTAAAGTAGTTGTTATTGCTTCCGGTTCATTTATAGCACTAGAAATTGAATGTCAGTGCATTGCATTATGGTATACCATATCCACGCAGTATGCTCTGTTATATACTGCACATTTTAGAGAATATAGGCTAGTAGGATATCTTCAGTGCCGATCCTAGACTTCTGGGGGCCCTACACAAAACTGTGTTTGGGGGGGGGCTCAGTACGCTTTCAACTTGTTTTTTTTTTTCTGTCTCGAGCAAGAGACTGTATGACATTCACATTACATGATTTGACTGATTTTTCCGTAGAAAGGGCAACAGCGCACCGCATTAAAAGAAATGAACATTCATGTTTTCATAACCGCTGGCCAAATTCAAAAACAAAACTAAAATTAAATCACCTTTGAGAGCAAGCCTGGTATTTCGGGGGCCTTTCGCAGCTTGCGTACTTTGCGTATAGGGAGTATCGGCTCTGGTTATCTTTATAATCTAGGCACATAAAAAGAACGGACTGTGCAAAATATACTGTACTATTATACTACAGAAAGTGTATGGACTAGAGTGGTCCAGTAGTATGATACTCCAAACATAACTTTATTTCACTGACCAACGTTGTGACGCACTTTTACTATTTAGGCAGGAATTCTATGCAAAAAAACTTAAGTGATGAGATTTCTTAATGAGATTCATTTAAGATTATGTGTTCAGCATTTTTGGTCACCAGTGTTTCAGCCTAAACTGAAATTACCGATGAAAACAAATGAATTCCTGTCTCTTTTGTATGACTGCTAACAGTTTCATTCAATCGAAAAAAAATGAAGAGCAGAAGTACAAAACATTTATCAGGAACTAAATGACTTGAATAAGAAGACTGCTTCAAGACTAAGATGAAGAAGAATGTGAAAAGAAGAACAGAGAAAATGAAAGCTGGGTTACAAAGGTAAAAGTCTAACCTTTATCTCTGCCTCGGAGTAATTGTGAACAATGTTCTTCACTTGTCGCCGCAGCGATGATGTCGACATGGCAACAGGCTGACTATCAGGTTCTGCAAAATCTGGGACATTGTAAAGCAATGTCAATAAAACACTAATATGGACAGGTACAAAGGCAAACAAAGGCTACACATTTTTCAAAAGGGAGTGTATCAGCTCTGAGACTGAAATATCTAAAAATGACCAGGAAGTATCAGCAGGACGTTTATCAGAAAACAAAAAGGAAATGCTTTGGCTGCTATTCAAACGCCATCCATCTCTCCATCGATAAAAAAAAAGACCCAATCTTACATAATATCCCCAGTACCGTGCACCCTCTGTAACCATGAGAGTGCAGCACCAGGAATTCCCCAACCTAAAAGTCCTGTAAACACAAGAGCATCGGATGACGTGTGAGTCTGGCTCCAGGAAGTGTGTGTGAAGTGTACTATACCTGGGAGTGTCAGTCTCTCTCCCCCCCTCTCGATCTCTCTGTGTGTGCGCGCTCAGGTCGGGGTCTCTGAGTGTTTAGCCTGTCCACTGTTCCAAACCTCCGCACAGCGGCCACATGAGGGCCCAGAAGCACAGATGTGGGGTGAAATAACTACGAGAAGGACAGAGATTTAGACGGGAGGTACAACATACAGGGATGAAAGCTGGTGCAGCACTGTGGAGGCTTAAAAACACAAAAGACATACAATTCCGCACTTTGACAATAGAGAAAATGCAGTAATAGCGGACCATGCCTGAAGGCACTGTACATTGCTCAACTGTAACATCAGCTAGGTGTAGGCCTAGAGAAACTACAAAAAAGCATGCGATACATAGATTTATAAAGTCGCTAAATTATCAGTATGATTAAAAGCTGTTGAACAAAAATGACTACATGCCTTCCGCCCTCTGAATGAGAATTCATATTTTTAGTAAGAAAAAAGCCTTTCAGTATAGTAGTAAAAATGTCCACCTTCACATCATGGTACTTGTATCTTTTTACCGTGAATTCTCAGGATTTTTAATTTAAAAAATGATATTGTTATTAATATTTCAAGATGAATATTTACTGGATGGAAGCCATTTAGGCTTATTGGATTATCCATACATCAATTATGTATCAAATATAAAACAACAGGATTTTAAGGATCCTTTTTCTCTCAATAATAACAGTAGGCTACTGCATTGAATTCTATGTAATTAAAACTGCAGAGCTCTGATCATAAAACTAAGCATTTAAATATCATCTTACTAAGACAAAATATTAGAAGATATAGATTGACAACTGATATTTATTTAGCTACATGCATTTTATGTAAGTAACGTAGTCTGTTATAGTGTTATAAGAATCTTGATGTATATTACAAGCTATGAAGCTATCAGAATTTAATCTTACATTTTGTCCATATAAACAACATCTGGAACAAATTGCATATTTTTGTTCAGTTTGGGCCTCTAAATAAAATAAGCATGTTTTGTCCCTCCTTGAATGTCAGCTCCATATTCTCACTATATCATACATGAGCCATAAAACCCTGGCGTATCAAAGAATATAAAACACCCCCAAACTAAAATATACAGCTCCATTTAAAAAAAATTATAATAATAATAATACATTTTTCTGACTATTATTTCACTACTATTTATGTCGTCACGTTTACATGGTTAACATTACATTAAACACAGGTAAAACACAGGAATCAGGGAGTTACTAACATGACCTGACCATATTCATGAACTTACACAATACATTGGCACCCTTAACTACATTAAAGGCAAATATACTAAAAATGTTCTTCTAAGCGTCAGTAAATCAAGGAAGAACAGGCGATAAGCAGTAGCTGAAAGGGTGTATTAATATGCAGTACTGTTGTATAAGGCTTTGGACCTGATAACAGTCCCACGGCCGCCTTCAGGATTCAGGAGCAAAGTACAAAAGTCTGAATGAACTGTTCTCAATGAGACCAGAAACCTTTAACTTCAACCTCCATTCAAAACAGTCAAATCAGGGGTCAACAGGTGGTTTTCAAAAGCAAGTTGATGAGGTGATAAACAACATTCAATGAACTTATCTATGACAACCTTTGCTTGGAAATGTGCATGAAATCTGACCGTTGGCGAATCGGATCGGCATCAGATCTCTTAAAGAGGCGTGTTGTTTATCTTTGAGCAGAAGACAGCTATCAGACAACAGCACAAACCTCTCTACCGTTACACCTCCACCCAGCTAACAAATGAAACAGCATTCATTCCCAGCCGTTAGAGAACTCCTCTAAAGTAACTTCAGCACCGAACAAGCCCTCTGCGCTCCAAACTGATAGAAAGAGCTCACTGCCAAGTCCACTAGAGATCAGCTAGCTGAGGCTACTTACCGCTGAGCTTCTGGTCTTCCTCTCAAACACGACCAGACATCCAGCAGAGCAGCAGAAAGCGGGTTATTATAGGTGAAGACGGGAGTGAAGGGACTAAATTAAAAACACTCATTTAGAGACTCGAGCGCCGCGTTATGCTAACTCGACTCATAAAGAGACGCGGCTGAGTGCGGTTTTCCTTCACAACTATCGCCCTTCGAGTCGTGCTCGTCATTTACACATATAACGTGTCATACAGCCGCTTATACTAATATAATAGCGCTACTTTCGCAAATAACGTCTCTACTGACCCTTCTGTTGCTCGGATGGTACGAGGAGATGGCGGCACTTCCGCTTCCGTTTCCCCGCAGCCGGACGGACCGCGCCCCCTTGCGCGCTCAGAGATTTGAATATTTATGAGCCATGGGAGCTACTATCTTAACAATGCTTTTTATGTGATTTTGAATAGTAGCCGCACAACAAAAGCATCGAAATCTATGATTCTAGATTGTGAAATGTGAAAATCTGGTATATGAATATTATATATGCGCAAACAAATGTACTGTTATCGTTTTGGTGACGCTGTTAAACGCCCTTAAGAGTTCTGTCAGTAATTTTGACAGCAACGGCTGCTATGTGCTATTAACATTTGTGGCACTCGGGTGTCATGTTAACCTATACGAGCCTTTGAGTTATGAAGAGATGACTGAGGTATCCTCTGATATTTTCTTTCCTAACTTTACAGTGATGCTATGGCACACAGTGCCCACATAGTGGCGATGTTCTCAATCAAATGAAATCATCTGAATTTCTTTGAAGAAAATCTACAACATGCTACACACCTTCAACCTTTTTGTCCTGAAGGCCCCCCAGAGTTCTACACAATATTCAAAGGCCCCTCACATAAGCTAGAATATTTCTTCCAGTATGTTCTGCTATAATAATTTTTTTTTATTAACAGAAACCTCACGTGTCAATTCTTTTCAAATTATCCGATTATTTTTGTGTTGATGTTTAAAGTATTCTGTTCCTTAATAACAAAAGTGTCATTTTTATATTTTATTCATTTACATTCTATTGTATTATTATTATTATTATTATTCGCAGTTTAATTTAGTCTAAATCATCCTGCAGACCCCTTAGATTTTTGCTGAGGCACCCTAGTGGGCCTTGGCCCCTGTTTGAGAACCACTTATTTTTGTGAATATACTATAAAATATGCATACATATACTCTCAAGTCTCATGACTGGCTGCGTTATTGCTCTTTATTGTACAGAACACTACTTAGAAATGTAATGATGGCACTAAAGGGAAATATATTACCATAGTGCATACCTAAGCAATAATCATTCTCACTTTCACATTTTTCATGTGTCAGCTGAACTCAAGTTTCACGTTTATCTCAAAAGAATATTTTAGAGCAGTTTTATACTTAAAAATGATTATGTGTGGTGTATTGCATTTAAATTAACAGTTTGTAAAAATTATTTTACAGTCTGTATCCTTCATGAAAGTAACAGATTACTTTGACCTGGGTGGTCTTCTCACTGCATTTAGATTAAAATGGCGAGTTGATGACAGAGATTTCACTCAAACTAAATATTTGCAGAAACCATTCAAAGGTTATAAGAAAACCTAAAAAATAAAAATACACATAAACACTCACAAATGCACACACCCACACACATTCATGCAGAAGAACTCAACACCACCACGGCTATGACTGTGAAGAACAGTTTCACACTTCTGTAAAAGATTTCATAGTGAATACATTTGAAATACTTCTTAATTTGTTGTTAATGTAAATAACTAAATCCATTAATTGCAATACAAACACATTCATTGCTACCTATCTGCATATTTTGGGTATTGGGTAACATGTTAAACTAATGCTGTCTCAAACATACCATGTGACATTCTTGAACAGCAGGGGAGTGACAGAAGCCTAGTTCAGATTATGAATGGAAATGAGACCAGAGGGACTGATGAAGCCTCATTGAAGTCAACAGGAGACTGTATTAGCAACAGCTTCATGCATGTAGAGCAGCTGGAGAAATAGAAATGGCCACGGTTGTGATAACAGGGATTGTTTGCCTTACGTAATATACAGTAGCCATGTTGTACTTGAGGTTCAGGGTAAACTGAGAGTGAGATGTAGAAAGAGAGAATGTGAACTGGCAGCGCTGAATAGAAGTTTGACCTGGAGAGGATGGTTGTATTAGGTTCTGCAAACAGATGGCAAAATGTACAGGTTAAATCCCATTGAAAAAAAGCCAATAAACAAACAAGCTAAATAAAACAAAAAGAGGGGACAATTTTAATGTAAGGACTCTAAACTGTTCTCTTCTATATATTCATAATTCTTCTTATCCAGCAGTGTTTTGAAAGTGCTGGTATTTATACCAGGATATTTTCCTGTTTGCATTACTTTTTTGTGTTTTCTGCATTCCAGTTTGCCTTTATTTGGAACTATTTGTTTTGGCAGAGAACAAATACATGCCGGTTTTGTCTGAAATGTAAGTTATCCGAAATGAATTGCTCATTTATGGAACTGTTGCACAAAGCAATATCAGAGATTCTTTTATTAAAGGAGAAGGCAACCTTCAAATCTGTATTACTGAAGGAAGTATAAAAGTCAATCTGAATCACATGCACCTAAGCTAATAATATAATGGCACTTGTGTGATTGAATCCATGTTTTACACAATGTGCATTCATTACACTTTTAAATGAATGTATAGTTTCATTTCAGTACCCATTGTACTATTAGAAAATAGCAGTCAATTTATTACGTGACATTACATAACGTGATCTGTTTCCACAAAAAAAAAGCTGATTTTTCAGTGTACGATTCTCCTGTTAAGAAGTGTTACGCATTATTCCATGCTCCTCGGTACAAAAAAGCTATTTTTGCTGTAACACTTTAGAACTTCAGAGCGTTGTCTAACATCATACACTCATTAACAGAATGTTAGTTAGAATGTTACAAATTAGTCATTAAATTTAGTCATTTTTATTTTAAAAAAGTAGTTTATTAATAAGTTACACACGGCACACTAGGATTTTATTTAAAGAAAGGATTCCTTGCATTTAGCAAGAATGCTTTAAAATCGATCACTAATGATGGTAAAGTTTTGTCATCAGTAAAAACAAAATAGTATTTTAAAATATATTAAAATAGAAAACATTTATTTTAAATTGTAATAATATTTTACAATATTACTGTTTTTACATTTTTGATTGAATAAATGCAGCCTTAGTGAGCATAAGATACTTCTTTCAAAAACATAAGAAATGTACCCACCCCAAACTTTTGAACAGTACGTGTTAAAAACCAAGACTCTAAGCAATTGCATTTATTTTTATCTTAAGTGGTGCCCATCTTTAAAAAGAAAAAAAGAAAAAGAAAAGAAAATGAAAAATTGTTTATTTATTTATGTACGCATGTATGTATGTGTTTTTAGGTTACCATTTTCACACAGTAAATTAAATTATATTAAATCTAAAGCAATCATCTAAACCAGAGGCATCCTGTGAAACATATACCCAAGACTACATTTCATATATTATTTTTGTAAGTAGATTCAATTTTTTTTTTTCATTTTTCCAAAACAATACCAATACCACTTGAATACAAAACATGCATGACTGGTGTCACAGTCCAAAACCAAGTAAATTGATTACACTAGGATCATTTTTATTCTTTCAAAAAATGTCTACCACATTGGACTGTGTATCTTTAAATACTTCCTAAAATGGACATTATGCTATAATATCACAATGGTAATGCTTTGGTCAAGAGCCCAGGAGTAATTAGATTTCAAAACTGTAAATGTCTTGTTATCTTCTTCAATCTCACTTGATCCAGCAGAACTGCTGTTCTGCACAGTAGGAGGAATTTACTTAAGTATGAAAGTGATAGCACTAGTAGGAAGAAGGGAGATCAAGAGAGAGAGAGATGAGGATTAGGAAAGAGACTGCAGTGAACAGCAGGAACTCAATAAAGTGTTGCAGAGACTGACTGACAGTTGGAACACTTTACTGACGTACAAGAGGAAAGAGAGCGAGTGAGACGTCTGGGAAGGGGCTGCATACCTCACTGTTGTAGTACATGGCTATCTGGGATGGAAACATGCAGAGGTATTTTAAAGGGAAAAGGGGCGAGCGAGGGAGAGAGAGAGAGAGAGAGAGAGAGAGAGAGAGAGCGAGAGAGAGAGAGCAGAGGAAGGTGGCAGGCATGAGTGAGGGCCGTCAGACTCATTGAGGATCAAGAGAGAGAGAGAGAGCACAGAGATAAAAATACTCTGTAGCAACCGACACTCACACTCGCACGGTGACATCTGATTAACTGCTTGTCGCTCTCAGTTGTATGTTGATAATGAGCAACAGACAGTTTGACTCAGATCTCAGTCCTGAACAGATGGGAAAGAGACAGTGAGAGAGATACTGACTGTTTCCAAGACGTCCTGAAAGACCTGCAGCGTTGGACAATGACTGTAAGTCAAATACTTCTCTTATGGAAAATTCTCCATTTCATAACAACACACATTAACTAGTACCTAATTGTTACCAGAAATGAATAAATAATATAAAAATATGTAAGAATAACACACAGACACACACACACACACACACACATATTTAGGCTATATGTAGGATTTAAACCTGAAATGCCATGCAATCTAAAGCCGCCATTCACAAAACACCACTTGTTAATATATGACAAATGAAAACATTCATTGCTGATTTCACTAATGGTGTGTGAATGGCAGCTTTACAGAAGTAAATCATGACTGAAAAACATTTCAGGTTTTATCCTGCTAGATCCTTTAAAGCCGTGTTATACACCTGTGGTTAATATGAAGCGTTCCAGCCGTTCTCCGCTGCACATACTGCACATATCCAATTGCATGTCACTGATAACCCATTCGAAATCATTTTGAAATACAAAAGTAAAAAGGGTTGTCACTGCAATTAAATGGGAAAGGATTGTTGAGTTTCACAGTATATATGTACAATACTGATAAAAAGGTTGCATTAAAAAATGCATCCTTTTTGCTCAAAAAGGATGCATTAAAAAAACAGTAATATTGTGAACTATTATTACAACTTAAAAAACTGTTTTGTATTTAAAATATATATTAAAAAATGTAATTTCCTCCTGTGATGGCAAAGCTGAAATTTCTGCAGTCATTACTCCAGTCTTCAGTGACTTCAGTCATTTATTTTGGAAATTACTATAATATGCTGATTTCGTGCTGAAGAAACATTTATTTTACTATCAATATTGCAGGCAGTTTTTGCTACTTAGTATTTTTTGTGGAAACCATGATACACATTCAAAATCTGGGTTTAGTAAGATAAAAAAAAAAAA